CGTAACAGCTTCCGGCGTAATTCCGCAATTTTCAGATATTTTGGCAATTTTGTACTTTTTTCTTTGCGATTTTAAGCTTTTTGGCAATTTTGGGACTTAACGTAACGTTAACGACGTTTTAACGTAACGTAATGCGTTAATAATTCTTCTACACTGTTAACTTAACGCGTTACGTTAACTTGATTTACAAATAAACGTAACGTAAAGCGTTAACTTTTTCTGTTAACGAGACCAACCCTGGTCCAGAGCGGGGCTAGGGCGGGGGCGAGGGAGGTGACATGGCAAACCCACACAAGGAGGGCGCACAGAGTCACCGTGGTTTGACCGGGGGATGAAGGGGTTTTCCTCCCGAGGAGGGCGGATCCCATGTGGATGTGTCACCTGTCCTCAGGGGCGTCACTGCCGGGCTGATCTCATCAGAGGCCGCCTCTCTCTCCACTCCTTTCTCCCCCTCTCTCCCTCTCTCCCTCTCTCTGTTACTCTCCCTCCCCCGCGCAGGTGATATGCTCTAGGCCAAAGAAAGGCGCCGCAGGGCTGGAGGGTGTTTTATGATAAGACACCAGACCATCAAAGAACGGCAAGGTAAAGCGATTACAGCGCCCTGATGGCAGCGCTGCCCGCCCGCTCCGGACCGCCGCCCCGCAGCCGGCGGCAGCCCCGGGGAGGTTCTTGTGCTGCATCCAACCGACACCAACGTTTGGAGTGGAGAGGTTCCGCCACCCCGACTGTCACCCTATGCCACACCCTGGTGAGTTCGTTCCATCGGTCAACAACAACAAGTTTGAGTGTGCACGATCACTTTTGTTATAAAATAGAAATAATTTTAAATCGCATAGAAACGGTTTGTTAAGATATTGACATTTACAAAGAAATTGGCAAAAACTTAGGGATAAATCGTCAGTGAACAAAAGAATTTAAAGAAAAATTGAGAAGATTCGAAGTACGAAATTAACTGGGAACTCATCGTTAATTTACAAAATAATCCTTAACCGTACCGCTTCGTCAGGGGGGCTTAACCGAGTGGTAACTCGGCCACACCCGGAGTACACTCATACCGGGTTACAGCCCGAAGTGATCCGGCTGCTCCGCGGGTCGTACAGCACGACAGGTCACGGGCGGGCCGAGGGACGGGCGGCCCCACACTGCGTCTCACGTCTCAGGACGCGCAAATTATGGCATACGATTTGCTCCAGCCGCGCTCCTTACGCCACGGGCCACAGCGGGGGTGGGGTCGAGTCAAGAAAGGGTGCGGGTGAGAGAGAGAGAGAGAGAGAGAGAGAGAGAGAGAGAGAGAGAGAGAGAGAGAGAGCACCCTGCCGCGGGCCTGTAGCCTCGCGGTGCCATCCTCACGCGCCCCGGCCCACCGTGCGGTGCAGCGCAGTTTCGTATATCTCGCCCACAATTACTCGTTCGCAGTGCGTGAGGCCCGGGGCCCCGGGGCTCTGGCTGGGCGTGGGCCGCCCGCCCGAGGGGCCGCCCGCCCGAGAGGCTTCCGAGCTTCAATAAGTTCGTTCCCAGCCCAGCCCAGGCCGATGAGCAGCAGTGTTATCACTCACCGAGGAGCTTTGGGCCGCTGTGGGTCTGACCCTCACTCGGACTATCCGCCCCGTGCCGCACATTGTAACGGACAGGGTGTCGTGGCGTCGTGGCGTAGCGTAGCGAGGCGTGGATCGGCGTGAACCCTTAACAGATGCGTGGCGGCGGAGGCGGGACGGGACGCGAGCCGATTGAGTCAGAGTAGGGAACGAATCGGTTCGGTGCGAGGCGAGAATTTTAAAGGGACCCGAACAATAGAAAAGGAAAAAAGAAAGAAAAGCAAGAGTTTTTTCCCTTGAATCAGCTTAGGGCGTTGCCGTTGCTCACCACACCGCGCCTGCAACCTGCGACACAATAGCGCGCCCACCCTCCTGAAAATGTTTCATTTAAAGTCCATCACAGAAGGGCGGCGCCGTTCCTCTCGCCCACGCCTTTTTCCCCCTCCCTCACTCTCTCTCTCTTTTTCTCTCTCTCTCTTTTCTTCTTACTCGTGGGTCTGAACTCCTCGCCCTGGCATTTGATGGTTGGGAGCAGACTTGACGCGGGGACCACCTCAGTCTATTCTTGTCTTTATCAAAGACAGTGGACGTATGTGGAGTGGATCAGGAGAGTGGGGCGACTTTGTAGGTGCATCCAGCGGTCCTGACGGCCGAGTCCTCAAAGTAGTTTGCTCAACAAGTTGCCGAGAGTCTGAGAGCCACTCGCAGATATTGACTCCTCTCCCCTCTCCCTCTCTCTCCGGAACCGCGTCGTTGGACCGAGGGGGTGAGCCAACTGGTCTCCCCTGTGGCCGCGTTATGGTCGAGCAAGCCTGAGCGTGCAGAAGGGAGACGGGACAGGCACCGGACGCACTGGCCGGGCTCTGAGCCGGGCTCTGCATGCCGACACAGGAACCGGAAGTACCACCGAGCTCGACCGGGAGTAACAAGAAGGGTCGCGCGGGCAGCGTTTGACATGGCAGTGCGGGGCGGTGCGGTGGCCGGGGGCGAACTCTGACCGACACAGGCCGGGCGCGGTACGGCACTCCGAGCCGAGGCCGGCCCGGACCGTTAAGATTCTCCCGCTAAACGGTTTTACGCGTTTGTAATTCAAAGCGTCGCTAGGAGGAGTGATTAAAGCGAAAGTCGACGCTCTTTGAGGGGCGGCGGCTCACCCCCTCCTGGCGTGGCGCAGCGTAGTGGGCTGTCCTGTAGAAAAACCAGGCGGGGCGTAGGGGTAACGGCACGAGAGAGAGAGAGAGAGAGAGAGAGAGAGAGAGAGAGAGAGAGAGAGAGAGAGAGAAATAAGGGAGCTGAAGGAGGCGGTGGTTTTCG